TCAGTAGTTAACCACGTACACAAGGTAAAACTAGATGGAAATAGTTTCCCCAAAACCTATTCGCACATTTTCCTTTTAGTGTCCGGTCCACAAATCTTATTTAGGATGGCCTCGATGAGGACATAGTAAGTTTGGCTGAAGATCTGTTATCGGTCACGATTTCATGTATGTAAGACAGAAAACCATAAGGGGGGACTAAATCAGACATTTTGGTGATCAATATTAATCACCTCAGCGTCGGCGGTTGACACCATTATGTGAAAAGCAGTGGGATATATTATCTCTAGTAAAACAGTTTTATGAACCTTGGTCGGTTATTTACAAAAATATCACTACATGTGTGAAACCCATTTGGGGCCTTGATAATCCCACATACACTACTCACAAGTAACTGTGAGCTGAATACGAATCTCAGATATCTCGAGCCGTGTGCTCCTACCCATGAAGCGTCAATTCAGCTCATTGACTGTGACCATCGTGCAGAAGCATCGGTATTCAATAAGTGAGATGCTTGGCTCGTGCGTGCAGCGAGCATGTCCCCCGTGAACAGATACACCAACCGCAAGTGGGCCGAGTCTAGGTATGAGCTGGAACCGTCGACAGACAGGATGTTCTCCGTGGAGAACGGGTTGACTGACAATCTAGAAGAGAGGAAAATGCAGACACCATGAACCAAAAGGTCCAGTGATACATGAACACGATCCACACTCAAACGGAATGGCAAGTTGCCAAGGTCGTTACTAATAAGAACATGTTTCTAAAATCGCGCGATCAATAGTGGTGACGGTTAACTCGAGGCACTGGCACATTGGGCTCGGATGATGACGATTGCTGGTAATTGGCCCACACATTCCCAGGATGTTTGAGGCTGCTAGACCGTCACAAAGAAACTGCACCTTGATGTGGTGTGGTGGCCTGCGTGCGTTCATGACCATGCGAGCTACACAGGATGAGTTTTCACAGTTGCAGATCCAACCATGCCTGAAAGGTCAACGGGTAGAGATCAGACAAAGCTCGGTCTTTCAAGGCCAGCTGCTTGGACACCTGGTTCTCTCTGACTATCCACTCTCGTCCTTCGAGTGGTCACTCCACCGAATAAGTACAATCGGGAGGAAGTTTTCCCGTCAGAAACCCGCTAGATGGACCTAGGAGTGGGGTACCTGGGGCTTCCTCCCGACGGGGAATGAAGTCTTCGCACAGACAGATGTTGACTACCCAATTCGGGCAGTTCCAGCAAACAAGGTGCTGTCCGGTCTATGTTCTGCCTATCTAATTGGGTGCATCAGACTGAGGGCCGAACCAGCATAGAGGACTGATAATCAATGCACCAGCAAACATTCTGAAATCAAACCCCAAGGCTGTGCACATCGGGTCTCTAGACGTCCCCACACGAGTGCTTCCATCAAGCTCCCGAGTTCCCCGAGAAAAACCGGCAAATTCCCGCTGTTTTTACGGGCCAGACTTTTGACTCCAGGGGTTCCCAAAGAAAAACCCGTTCGTCAGTGTGGGCTAGCGCGAAGTGTGTCCTGGCCTAAAGCCGCAGGCGCTTATACGGAAAAACCTCGCTTTCATTTGTCTAGCTCTACCTTTCACTCCCAAGTCGAACGAGATACCTCGTATTTACGCCAGTCATGAATATCCCCCAGCGTTCAACCAGTACGGTCAACGAACCAAAAGCTAAAGCGCTAATAAAACAAAATATCCGGTTCTCTTCACTGCACTCAATGTACGCACACTCAATCAGATCGGCCAAGGTGCCTCAGCTGCAAACTTTGAAATTTGTAATTTAGACTTATGCTTTGTCTCTGAAACACGCATCACAGATCAGACGTCATCCTTAAACTTCACTCTTCGTGTTTGGCCTTTATTCAGCAGCCGACCTTTTTGCTCCCCGTCTCAACCTTTCAGTATGGCTTAACAGATACAGATCAAAGCGTCAATGCTTATTCGTCGTGTCGCTGTATCCATCAGCTGTTTTGTAGTGCGCTTCAAACCAAGGATGAATTCTGTGAGGATATATTTTGATTAGTCCAGTGTTCGATCAACGTACTACAGACTTCAATAAGCAATTGGGATACCTGGATGAATAAGAAAGGTTTCTTGGCGGTCCACATACAATCCCAGTCAATCGGACGGACAATGGAGGTCGCCTAATTCAACTTTGCGCAACCTTGGGTGGTTCCTGTCAAGCACCAAGTTCTCTCACAAGAAATGACACCGCCTTACTTGGAAACCGACAACCTCTTGATTGTACAGGACCCAAATCACCAGTAGTTACCGCTGGAGAGGGCCGATTCAAGACTGCCATTCTTACTAGTCAACACTTACGGAATACGCTTCGTTACCAGATAAATTTGTCTTGCGCCTGGCAAACAACCACAATAAAGCCACCGACAACAGATACCCACGCTACAACGTCCGCGATAGTTGCCGCGATAGTTGCAAATCGATCATTGAAGTGGACCTTTCCCGTCACCTATAACTTCAACTACCAACCGAAGAACTCAATGAACACTGCAGGCGAATCAAGGAAGTTATGCATATATCGACAAAAACAACGTCAGACTCTGGCACAGGCTCAAAGCACAAACGATCGACCTCGGCTGCCCTGCTGGACACTTGTAGAACCCTTCCTCTTGATGCCACATACGATAGAGCGCGCAAATCCCTCAAACGCCAGCCCATCAAGAGTCTGAGGTATGACCGCAAGAACTGGTGGATAGGAAAGTGAAGAGAGATGCGGCTATCGGTAGTAGTCGCAATATTTTCCATCTAATTAGGAATACGGGACCTGACCCTGACCAGGAGACCCGGTCATATAGGCTGCGCTAGGTTCCACGGACGGGCACCTCAGGATCATTGTAACCGATGAATAGAGACACTGAGTGATTAGGTTAGTCGTAATCGTAATCCTATATCTACTCATTACCTTCGCAACCTTAGTCTAACACAATTCTCTATTTTCTCTTCGATAAAACTTTCAAATATTCAATCTTTCTTCTACCCATTCATCCAAATGGGCGGTCAAAAGACGACAAACGAAACCAGCACACGAAAGTGCATGGTTAACAATTGTACAAACTGAAGCTGCGGTTGAATTAAAGTACTAATATCCTATACACGATAACTGAAATTTGCCTGACAACCAAACTTATTTTTCATATCCGTCAACTACGTCAGTTTCGTAATCAACAGTCAATAAACTCAAAAGTTCGCTTACCAGTGTATTTTCCTCGTTTCCCCTCATTGTTCACCTGTTTTCCTTTCTAACCTGCTAACAAAGGACCTCAAACTGCTTCCACGTGAACTGACCATCATCCTCGTCTCCTTGATCCCGCTGAAGGAGTTGATAACCTATCTGTCTAAACGTCATTTGAATGCATGTGAAAAGATTCTAATGAATCCCACCCATCTAGTGCACACAGATTTGGCTTCAGGACTAAGGTGTTTTTTTTCCCTACTGACTGAAATGTAGGTGCTATGCGTACAGAAATCATAATCACAAACTGCACTTATTCTCCACTGCAGTCCTGCTAGTATTTCCCGAGGTTTTTGGTGATCATTCATTAAATTTAGCTTTGGTATCAATTGGTTAATTGTGTAGCACAAAGGTACCTTTGTATCTAAGCTGTACTTTTATCCGATCACAAAGGGTACTTTGAAAATAACCAAAAGATCGAATAAAGGAAACAAACCGGACAAAGCACGTTAGCAAAGGTTCCAAAGACCCTGGAATAGAACAAGATACGATTGTACAGTACGTTTCTAGCTCTGATAGACGCTTTCCACACGGAAGTAATTCCATGTTTACTCGTGTTTCTTCTGATCGACATGATCCAACATTCACTGAAAGCACTCCCGAGGAAGTAGACTTGGAACAATCGGTCTTGATAATGAACTTTTCGGAAGAAATTCAAATACATCATACTTTCACTTTCAGAGTACAGCTGAATGTGAAGTGTAATTGATCTGAATGAACGGACATTCCAAGGAGGTCGATTCATTTTTAGAGTGTCAAGCTTGGATTAGCCCATTCGATTGTTCACAGGCACCAAACACTCTTGATGGCCATGGGTGTGGGTTTCCCTCCTTGGAAGATCGTTAATTCCCCACAAGGTAATGCATTCAAATGCGATGGAAAACGTCCGTGATAACCGACAAAGAGCACTGGGCAGTTGTCTCGTCCTGTTTGGGACTCGCCAGCAGTGCGTCCTTTTTGTGCCCCCGTCAGGACTTGAACCGCGAACATTCGGGTCGGGAATTCAAACCCTTACCCCTGAGCTACACGGTCGACAGTCATCACCTTGTGCGAAAGACTCAAAGAGTGCGTGATTTACAGATTATAGAGAGCACGGTTTTAGCTACCACCCAAACTGAAACCGTCTATCCGCGTTGTGCTGGCGCGTCCGCGTTCTTTTTGAATAACAGTGACTACGAGTGTTCTACTCGTATCCGGTGCTCTGCTTAAGCACAATCAACTAGACCGGACTAGAGGTCAACTGAATCTAGTGATACAATAATGGACTAGGATACAAACGGATGAAACTGATTCAGATTAAATTTTCCGGGTTAGCAATTCTGAGGACATTGCCCTGTGGAACACGAAATTAACTAAATAGGGAATGAGGTTGACTTGATACATAAAAAGGGAGGTTCGGGGAAAAGCCGATCGTTTAGAATATTACACCACCACCGGCAAGTTGCGAAAACTTACTCTCCCCCCGTCCATTCTCCTCAGACAGTGACCGAAAGAGAGAGAGAGAGAGAGAATATATCCAAGAGTATACAATCACCTTCAATGTTAAACGGGATTGTCACCTGAATGTTTTACATCACGAGAGATAAACACAAGGTCATTAATTAGGGGTAAGGACAGTACACTACATTTCTGTACGAAAATAATTATTTACATAAAGAAGGGAGTAGAATGAACTGAATATACAATCTTGTGTGATGGTCAACAGATGAAAGAGTGTGAAAGCAGAATTCATGTATGAAATTTAAATATTCAGTTCCATGAAATGCTTCTCAGCGAAACGCATGATATCACGTAGAGGTCCAGCAATCAACTTCTTTAACTGCGCCTCGGTGCAACAGGCTGAAATAGAATCTAATCACATGGAGAAGAAGAGGTTATTATGTTCATACACACGTGCTCACCTGCAATGAGAGAACTCGTTTCTGGGGAGTACCATTTCGTAAGGATAAACTTGAGCGAATCGCGCGGTGCACGGGGCATTTTGAACATGAAAATCGGCTGTGTCCGAAATTCCAGACCGGAATCCGAAGTGCTTTGGGGAGCCAAATCACTGTGAAGCAGATCTGCATCCGGTTTGTAATCTAGCGGGGCAAGCATAGTCGAATGATCCACCGTGGCCTCGGACGTAGACACGTTTTGCATGCGTTTGACCAACAGGTCCTCGTGTGACTGTATCAGGCATGCAAGATCTTCAACCCAATAATCCTGCAACGCATTCTGGAGAATGTAGAAAAGACAACCAGATCAGAAAAATTTTGATTTATGCACGCACCAAGTCATTCAAAATCGATTACAAGTAGGTTGCTCGCCTTTTTCAGTACATCAAATTCATTTCATACAACCCCAGTTTCTTGGAAGCCATTGTTTAGAAGTTGTCTGGGTATTTCTAAGTACCACGGTATACTGAATCATAAAAAGGGGAAGGTGAGACAGACTGACAAATTACCAGGGTAGATCCAAAGAAGCTCAAAGTTCTTTCCGTTGGCACAGGTTGCGTTTTCATCAATTGATCGGAATCCTCTACGCAAGTTGTTGTAATGGTGAGCTTCTGGCGGAAAAAATGAATACCAGTTGCGTAGGCTTTGGCGATCAACCGACAAAAACCCACCCTATTTCAACAGAAAATATCTAGCTTTTTTATTACACACATTCATGCGATGAACAAACGAAAGAGTGAGCCCCATATTGGTGAAGTCCTGCTGTTCACTGATGGAGACCGGAAACCTAAGTCCAGGGACTGGGAATCGCGTAGTACTGAAACGGAAGATAGCATAACTGCCAACCACAAAGGTCGGATGGTATATATACCTATATATAGCGGCTTACGAACAAACATGGTGCCAACAATAATAGTACAGAGGCGGAAGCTCGGGTATAGATAGGAACGTTGTGAACAAAACAATTACAGAAAACGAAACGACACAAAGTATTGTTTTTCATGTTTCGCCGTACAACTCCTGAATTTTTTCTTTACTTGCATAAATGGGGTTCTGACCTTTGACAAACAGACCATAAAACATTCGCGTCATTGATCTCCATCTTGAGCCATACCCCTCAGTGTCTTTAAGGAGCCAAAGTCTTCATTTGTTGGGCCTGAACTGGAAGGCGGGTTGCACAAACCGAAGCCAATCCTCTCACCAAAGGTCTTAGCCAAATAGCATTGTAACTAGTTTTCCTGTAAATAAAGTGCACATTCTGAAGCCTCCTCAATCTTCAAATCTGGAGGCTTTCAAAGTGAGGACTCTTATGCAGGTGGGTCAACAGGCGTGTCTTGCGCGTACAATGCAGTCTCTAGAAATCGATGTCTGTTGCGTATCGGAAACACGAATTCAGGATCCTAGTATTATAAGCCACCTG